AGCCACACCGGATCATCAGATTCGAAATCAATGTTTTTTAGATGAGGTAATGACGTCATTAGTCGTTTGATATTATGAAAGGCATCATCTTCTTCTTTACCCCATCTAAATTTGGTTGGATCCAGTTTCGTGCTAGTGAGAGGTGTTAATTTGTTCACGTATTTCTCTAGACCCCAGATGAATTTCTTCATCCACTGCACCGTGCCTAAGAACTTTTTGATACCCTTCGCTGATTTTGGTCTCTTCCAATTCAACACCTGCTCTACTTTCTCATCATCTGCCCTAATGCCCTCTTCTGAAATCCAATGACCTAAAAGTTTAATCTCCCTTCTGAATAATTTAGTCTTCTTCTTGCTGCAATATAAATTAGCTTCTCTCAACCTTTGTAAAACCATTTTTGTATGACGTTCATGTTCTTCTATTGTCTTCGAAAATACTACAATATCGTCCAAGTATACAACACAGATTGTGTTTAATAACTCCCCCAAAGCTTCTTCGAGTCTACCTTGATGCGTGCTCGGTGCGTTAGTCAGTCCCATTGGCATAACGCACCACTCGTAGAGGCCCCAAGGAGTATGGACGGCGGTCAAAGGGATGTCTGCTTCCCTCATGCGTGTTTGAAAAAACGCGTTTGTAAGATCAATGATGGAAAAAATTCTTCCTGTTCCTACAAGCCTGACCAACGTGTCCACGTTGGGCAATGGCGCACGGTCCCTCACGGTCAGGCTGTTCAAGACGCGGTAATCGCATACCCATCTTGGAAGTTCGGTAGGGTCCTTCTTCGGAATGATAAGACTCGGTGAGGCGTACTGACCCGTTGATCTACGGATTCTTCCAGCGGCTAAGTGTTGATCAACCAACTTACCCCACGCGTTCATGTGCTTCGGTGGGTAGTTGTAAGCCTTCTCCTTAATAACTGCCTCCGGATCCTTCAATACTATTTTGTGACGGATCTTTGAACTCTCATTTTGTAATTTTTTCGGAAATGAGCCGTCCACAAACAGGCCCTCGTCTTCAGCTTCGTCTGACACTGCTGGGATGTCCACCGGGAATAAATCCTCAAAATCTTTGAACATTTTCAACTCATACTTCTCATTGTCACTTCGAAACACTTGACTCTCTTTCTTGCTAACTTCTCTCTCCCACAAAGCCTCACATTCCTTTTCAGGTTCAGTAATACGCGGCACGGACAACTTTTGAATCTTTTCATTCCACTCTTCTAATAATCGATAATCGTAGATTTTAACACCAGTCTTTTCACACACAATAGCTCTTTGATGAACAGAAACTGAAATTTGAAAAATATTAAAAAACGGTGTACCAAGGATCATATCAAAGTCACCTCCCACCTCCCCTAATTTACAGTATGTCCTGTTGAATGTTTGTTTCGACGTCGGTTCAACCAGGTCAACCGTGGTGAAGTGAGTGAGTACAGGTGGTGGTGAGCCGGTGTCAACCGCTAGACTAATCTGCAATGGCTTGACGAGTTTTCGCTTTTGAAGCTTAAGTCGCTCTGCCGCCCGTTCTGTTAAAATATTGATTTCAGCCCCGGGATCAGCAAGTGCTCGAATCTTTTCGCCATTGTGGATGAATTCAACGACGACACGTGGTGGTTTAGGAGGAGGTACGCACCCTTCAGACTCGGCTAGATCAAGCTCTTCGTCCAAGGCTTGGAGCGCTGCCACAGCGATATCATCCATGTCTGGGAATTCGGAAGCCGCCGCTACCTTAGCATAGGACGCTGCTGGGCGACCTGCTGGTGGATGGGTCGCTCGTCCTGCTTGACCTCGACTAGCTGGTGGCGAAGATTTGGCTCTAGGAGGGACGTAGTTGGCTGGCTTGGGGGGTGCAACATACCCAGGCGGGAAGATCACCTTCTCTCTGACATAAGGTCCTTTGCATTCTCGATGCTCGCTACCACAGAAACCTTTACAGAAGTGACATTGGCCGATTGAATCACGGTACGAATGAATTTTCCAGGTAAATTCTTCGTCGCTCAACCGTCCTGAAGCATTAGTCGTAGGTACACGTGAACGGTTGTATGACGTGGAGGAATTGAAAGATGAAGTCGAGCTGGTGGGCATTCGAGTTTTCTTGGTGATAGCGTGAGAAGCCACTAATGATGCGTAGAGAGTTTCGCACTGATTTTCAAACATATGATAAGTAAAATCTTTCGTATTTCTCGAGAACCCCCACAATTTGACAGCGGTCTTTAACTCCTCTACCATTCCATACTCGACAAAAGTTGCTAATTGATGATCATTCAAGGTGACAGCATGAAAATTGATTAAAATTTGAATACCTCGAGCTCTAGAACTATACGTGATAAAGTCCTCATAAGGTGACATCTTCAGATGTTGAGCCTTCTCAAATAAGCGGCTGTTCCAATCGCTAGCTAGGCAGGAGTCAAAGAGTTGAACGAGAAACTCCTTCCAGGTGCCTTTGATGAAGCGATCGAAACCACCCTCATAGAACGAATGGGCATTCGGTTCCTCCAAAAAATTCCCGACTAACGTGATGCGATCGGTATCTGCCGTCACACCTTTAGTGCGGAAAAACGTTTTCAGGGAAGAGTACCATAGCAGGAATGGCTCTGCTTCTCGGTATGGACCTTTATATATCGGCCCATCCGACGTGCGAAATCTCGCTAGATCGATGCCAGTCGTCGGCTTAGAATCAGATGGTGACGTTTCGGTCGGAGTCGAAATCTTGGACTCTACCATCTTCATCATGAATTCTTCGAACTTCTCCATGCGACGATTAGTATTAAGTTGTGAGTCGACGATGGCTTTCATGAGATCGGAATTTGAGTTATCTGGTGCGCTGGTTTGATCAGCCATTTTCGGGAAAGGTTTTGGCGATGATTGGTCTCGTGTAGGAGTTGAAGGTAAAGAAGAAAGTGGAGAGCCTTCAGATGATTCTGGCAAGACTGGCAAAATGGATGACTCGGTCCGAGTACGGTTCGGTGTCACTGGCGGTGGTTGATCTGTACGAGCACGAGATGGTGCGGCTGGCGGAGGTTGTTGTAGCGCGGCTAGTCTGGCGATGTCTGGATTAGGTCTCGAGAGACGTTGTAAACGTCGATTCTCTCGGATTATGGCTTCGGGATCTGGCAAAGGTACTGGCGGAGCTTTCGGATCGGCGGAAGGCGCTTGACGACGTGTCGTCATACACGGTGATGAAGTGTAGGAATTCAAAGAATGCGGGGTAATGAATCGATCGATTTTAAATGATTAAAACACCTCGGACGTAGGGAATTCGAGGTGGCGCATTCAATAGAAAATTTTGAAGTATCGATTGAGTTAAGTTTGAACTGATGTATTCGAAACTTAATTTATTTTGATGGTGTTTTGGGTTTGAGAAAAAAAAAGTGTAAGGTTCGGAAGAACCTTCACTGGATACTTCACGCGGGACACTGTGCGAGCACAGCAGAGGGTTTCTAGAACCCAAGAGACCTGATATTGTATTACTAATCCGACGGGAACACGTCTGGTTCCGAAGGATAGAGGGATATGAATCAGTCCCGATATCTCTAAGCTGAACAACAACAATGATAAAAAGAAAGAAAGATAGAAATAAGTAAAATGACTATACCTGGTTCCGAAGGATAGAGGGATATGAATCAGTCCCGATATCTCTAAGGAACCATTGGTAAGATTCGAAATGAAAACAAGCATATATAGTAATTGTAGATTTAAGTCTTAAGTGTTAAACTCTAGGTGTGCGCTTGCGCGTATATGTAATGACCACAGGTCTTACAGGGGCCATCAAATTTTCAACTTTTATCCAGAAATATATCACTTGCAGAACCACTTATGGCTCTTGTAGTGGCTTTTGTACCCCTATATTTGCAATGTTGTGAAAACACACTGGACAAGTAAAACTTCTAGAGTTTTTGTGCAAACCCAAAAGTTGAAGCTGTTTTGGATTTCTGTAAGATTGGGCTATAAATATGAACTATGGTGGACACCCACACACCACGCAAAGAACCACTTATAGCCTTATTAATGATTTTTTAGGTGCTTTTTTCCTGAACGGTGTATAAGGAATTTTTTTTTGTTTTTTGAGATAAAGCAAAAAAAAAAACGCCTTTCTTATTTCACATAAACCTATGGAATAAACCAAAAATCTCAACTTTTTTTTTTTTTGGTCCCCCCACCCATAATTGTGCCTATATACCTCTATAGCGGACCTCATACTCACTGCCACTAACCACACAACATCACAGTGAGAAGCTCAATATATCACAGGTTTAACTTTGCAAGTTCACTTAGTTATATTACTTATTGCAATCACTCACTCATACAAACTCACAAACAGTGTTGATATTGTATTCCAGGGTTTTCCGGTTCAGTACTATTTTGTGGTTTTGACTACACTACATGGGCAAGAATTCTGATAACTTTTTTGTTTATGGCTCAAATGCCTTGAAAGTTGGCTCATTTTTCCCGCCAATTATGGGGCTTTATATATTTTCTATGAAATTACATCCTTGGCATGTGTGGAAATCTCCATAGCCCCACATGTAATCCCCATCCAGCACACTGACTTGCAAGGACATAAGTGCTAGTAGGGGATTTGTCTGTGGTTCAAATGCCTCCATTATAGGCTCAAACTTTCAGGCAATGCTATACATTTCATAATATACCATCATAAAGCTTGTCTGACATGTCTGGGGATCTCCATAACCACGTATGTATTTACCAATCAGTACAATATTTACCAATCAGCACCTAATTTGCACATAACATTGCATATAAAATTTCAATGGGCATTACAAGTGTATTTATACAATGCTCTATTGCTCTCTATTGCTCTCGAGACTTGATTCTTTCTACTATGTGTCTCAACATCCACACATGCACCACTCTTTTTTTAGACCTAAAGATAAAAAGGACAAGTAAGGAAAATTCGGTTCTGCATTTCATTCTTTCATTGCAATTAATATGGTAGGTCATTCAACTTATCTTCATTCTTCATTCTAGTATTGAATTTGTAAATCATTCTGGGGCGAATGCTAGATCAACCTCTATTCAAGTACTCTTCAGACCTAATCTAAGTCCCATATATCCCCTCCATCAACTTACCCTTATACTCAAGTTTGTTCAACTTGGTTCCATTTTTGCTATTCTTGTTGCACTCCTCTGACCACAAAGTCTCCCAAAACCTGCTTTGTTTGGAAAATCTACTGAAGCACATGCTGTAATTAAGTCACTAATCAAATGAACTTCCAAACACTTTCACTCACAAAGAACAGCCAGACTTGGGCTGTGAAAATCGATTGGGGTTTTGTAATGGTATTCTGATATTTCTCTTATCTTTCAAGTATCATTGAGATAATTTTTCTGAATTCTGTACATTTAGTGTAGATGCCTTATGAAAGGTTACCAACACAAATACTCAACATGTGAATGGGCCATAAAATAAGTCACATTCTGGTGAGGGTTAAAATTTGTACCCATGGGCTTAAATTTGTGTCTCACATATGTATGAAAAAGACAAAAGCCTACTGTGTTTATTCAATTCAGATACATATTCATACAATGCTCGTGTACTCTCAAATGA